CTTCTGATTGCTACTTTCAGCAGGATAATGCGCCATGTCATAAAGCTGGAATCATCTCAGACTGGTTTCTTGAACATGACAATGAGTTCACTGTACTCAAATGGCCTCCACAGTCACCAGATCTCAATCCAATAGAGCATCTTTGGGATGTGGTGGAACGGGAGATTCGCATCATGGATGTGCAGCCGACAAATCTGCGGCAACTGTGTGATGCCATCATGTCAATATGGACCAAACTCTCTGAGGAATGCTTCCAGCACCTTGTTGAATCTATGCCACGAAGAATTGAGGCAGTTCTGAAGGCAAAAGGGGGTCCGACCCGTTACTAGCATGGTGTACCTAATAAAGTGGCCGGTGAGTGTACATCAAACAGGAGGAAACTGAGGTCATTGCTGTTATTGTAAAGAGTGAAGAAGAGGAAGAAGTGGAACCTGAGTCCACTAAGCTTCATCCTCAGTGTCTCAGTGAAAGTGAAAGTCCAAAAGGAGATTCAAGAAAATGTTGTAAGGAGAAGTCTGTAGACCATGACGACAGCTTGAAGAAGACAAGTGAAGACAGGTTAAAGAAATTTAAAATAAAAATAAAAGGTAATATAGGCAAGAATTTGAGCTTCCCTGAGCGTGGGAAAAAGTGTGTCTTAAAGTCTGATCTTCTTAAACATGGGAATGCTTATTTAGGAGAGAAACCATTTACTTGCACTATATGCGGTAAAGGTTTTAATTCAGAAACACACGTGAGGAGACATGAAAGAATACATACAGGAGAGAAACCCTTTCGTTGCTCTCTCTGTGGTAAACAATTTCGTGAAAAGGGCAGTTTAAGGACACATGAGAGAATACATACAGGAGAGAAACCATTTGGTTGTTCTTTTTGTGGTGAAAAATTTACCGAAAAAGGTGGTCTTACCAAAGACTTACACCAAAGACTTCACACAAGAGAAAAACCATTAATTTGTGCTTTTTGTGGAAAACATTTATTGAGAAAATTAGTCTGAAGATACATGAAGGGCTTCATACAGGAGAGAAACCATTTAGCTGCTGTGAGTGTGGGAAAAGCTTTACATGGGCGAGATATTTGAGACGACATGAAAAAATTCATACTGGAGAGAAACCTTTTGTTTGCTCTCAGTGTGGGCAAAGATTTACCCGTGAGACAAATCTGAGGAGACATGAGAAAATTCATACAGGAGAGAAACCATTTAGTTGCTCTGCCTGTGGAAAAGGATTTACTGAAATGAGCAGCCTAAGGAGACATGAGAAACTTCATGAGGGAAAAAATGCATTTCCACTAAGTAATAATAGCAGACTTAATGGTGACTTGTATGAGGTTTTACATTAAAGGATTGTTAAACTGCACATTTTTAGTCACAGATGGGAAAGTACTTTCAAATTTCAAAACTTGTAGCACACATTTTGCTAATGTAAGTTATAAATGTCAGTGAGTTGGCCACAGACCAATGTAAGATAAGTGGATGGTCTATGCTTGTTTTTTAATTATCAAAAAACTTTCTTTCTGCCTATCAGGATTTTTATTATTAAATATGAATATTAAGGGACGTTTAGCAATGTTTCTTTTCATCCAAAGGGATATGTGTCATTGCATCTTTGGGTGATTGAGGTGAAAAGAGAGTCAGACAGGTTGATGTGTGTGAAGGTAGAAGTAGAAGGAGAGATGATTAATGTTGTTAGTGGTTATGCCCCACAGGTGGGCTGTGAGTTGGAAGAAAAGGAGAAGTTCTGGAAGGAGCTAGATTGGATGGTAGAGAGTATCCCCAGGAGAGAGAGAGTGGTGATTGGAGCAGACCTAAATGGTCATGTAGGGGAAGGGAACAGAGGAGATGAGGAAGTGATAGGCAGGTTTGGTGTTAGGGAGAGAAACGTAGAAGGACAGGCAGTGGTAGATTTTGCAAAGAGAATGGAAATGGCTGTGGTAAACACATATTTCCAAAAGAAAGAGGAACATAGGGTGACTTACAAGAGTGGAGGCAGGTCCACACAGATAGATTATATTCTATGTAGAAGATGTAATCTGAGGGAGATTAGAGACTGTAAGGTGGTGGCAGGCGAGAGTGTAGCCAAACAACATCGGATGGTAGTGTGCAAGATGACGATGGAGGTGAAAAAAAGGAAGAGAGTGAAGACAGAAGAGAATATCAAGTGGTGGAAATTAAGGAAAGAGACATGTTGTGAAGACTTCAGGAAGGAAGTGAGGGCAGTTCTGGGTTCCCAGTTCCCAGATGAATGGGAGACTACAGCTGCAGTGATTAGGGAGACAGGTAGGAAGGTGCTAGGTATGTCCTCTGGGCAGAGAAAGGAGGACAAATAGACCTGGTGGTGGAATGAGGAGATCCAGGAGAGTGTGCAGAGAAAGAGATTAGCAAAGAAGAGATGGGACAGTGAGAGAACAGAAGAGAACAGACTGGAGTAAAAAAAAAAGAACGGACAAGGGAGGTGAAGAGGGAAGTGGCCAAGGCCAAACAAAAGGCATATGAGGAGTTGTATGAGAGTTTGGAACCAAAGGAAGGAGAAAAAGAGTTGTATATTTTGGCAAGACAGAGAAATCAAGCTGGGAACGATGTGCAGCAGGTGAGGTTGATTAAGGACAGAGAGGGGAACGTGATCACAAGTGAGGAAAGCGTGCTGAGAAGATGGAAGGAATACTTTGAGGAGTTGTTGAATGAGGAAAATAAAAGAGAAAGTAAAAACGAGGAACCAGAAATTATTAGGAAGAAGGTAGATCAGATTAGAAAGGATGAAGTAAGAAAAGCCCTGAAGAGGATAAAGAGTGGAAAGTCAGTTGTGGTAACTGGTAAGTTTGATGACCTACCAGTGAAAGTATGGAAGTGCTTAGGGGAAGTTGTTGTAGATTTCCTGATGTTGATGCCGAAAAATACGTTATTCAGTAACCACTATTATCATCTAACTGCCACAGATACCAGGAAAGAACCACACCTGACAACGTTGTACTTTTTACTCGCTGCGAGGGGGAGCAGAGAGACCAACAGCTTCGCAGAGTTGACTCACCTAAGTCTCAAAGTGTATGAGGACTACAGCTCCTTTTATTGAGAAAGTTACATAAGTGCTGAGCAGTTTTTTTTTATTACGTACATTCTTTTTGGGCAAAGTTCACACGATTCACATAAATGATGAGGAACAGACTTCGTCCTTTGCGGAACACATTGTAAAACATTTCTAGGAGTACGTACCGTACTGTACGTAGGACATTTCCTGTGCAGAGCAAAGTCTTCAGAAAAGGGAGTATGTGTTCCGTACAAGCAGATTATGATTTAACACACTTTGATAACTAACTAGAAATTCTATTTACACCTGACTAGGATGTTCAACAGAATTCTAGAGACTGACAAAATGCCCGATGAGTGGAGGCACTACTCACATCTTGTCAGTCTGGTGCCAATTTATAAGAAGGGTGATGTGCAGAGTTGTAACAACTACAGAGGGATTGATGAGTCATACAATGAAGATTTGGGAAAGAGTAGTTGAAGCTAGGTTGAGGTAGGAAGTGGAGATTTGTGAACAACACTATGGTTTCATGCCTAGGAAGAGTACCACAGATGCAATATTTGCAAATGCTGATAGAGAAGTACAGAGAAGGTCAGGAGGAGCTACATTGTGTATAGATTTGTATGTATCTATACATTTAAAAAAAGGCATATGACAGAGTGCCAAGGGAGGAATTGTGGTTTTGTATGAGGAAGTCAGGAGTGGCAGAGAAGTATGTTAGTTTGGTGCAGGACATGTATGAGAATAGTACAACAGTGGTGAGG